GAGGGGTTAGCTCAGGTTTCCCTATGGAAGCATGTGAATTAAAACAGTGTGGATAGTTTTATTCTCTGCAGGTACTTTCTGCTCATTTCCTCAGCAAACATGTGTTGACTAGCCACTCCGGGCCAGGCACTGTGTTCGGTACTGTGAGCACTCCTGTGGTAAATTCCACGACAGTGACAAGCATAAGACCCCAAAAGAACAATTCAACAACCCTGGGGGGAACCACACAAGCTCCCTGAGAAGCCATCTGTTTTCTGAGCTCAGGAGCCAGTAGGAGTTACTGGCCACAGAGAGCAAGCCCTGAGAGAACAGCCGGGCAGAGGAGAGCGCTGGGCAGTTAGGGGTATGAGGGGTGAGAGAAGGGACCACAGCTTAGCATGGGAAAGTAAATGTGGACCAAATTTAACAGGGTTCTTATGACATGTTAGGGATTTGGGACTTACTTTAAGCCTAGAAGGGTTTTAAACATGGGAGTAGCTTAATCTTTACCTTCTTTTAAAAAGAAAGGTTTATTTAGTGTGTGTGTGTGTGTGTGTGTGTGTGTGAGAGAGAGAGAGAGAGAGAGAGAGAGAGAGAGAGAAAGAGAGAGAGAGAGAGAGGGAGGAAGGGAGGGAGAGGACACAGTAGGAGATGGGTAGAGAGAGAGGGAGAAAGAGAATCCCAAGCAGGTTCTGAGATATCAGTGCACAGCCAGACACAGGGCTTGAACTCACAAACCGTAAAATCATGACCTGAGCCAAGTGAGCCACACAGGTGCCCCGAATCATCTTAATGTTTTCAGATCATTCTGAAGGGAAAAAACCTGCAGGCAAATATTGAACTGTGGTTAATAGGGATGCACAAATTATTTAGGAGGAAGTATACTGATGTTGGTGACTTACTTTGAAATGTGTGACAAATGTGACAAAAAGGAAGACTGATGGAAGGCCAGAAGGCCTGAAGGCTAGCTTGTGTGGGACAAGCACAGTGAAAGGGTGATGATAAAATCCAAGTGGTGGGTATATGGGGGTTCACTGTAAAATTCTCTCAACTTTCTTTATGGTTGTAAACTTTCATAATAAAACACTGGGGAATTAGATCATTCTGGCTGCTGCTTGAATAAAGGTTTTAGAAAGGGGCAAGGGAGCCAATTAATAGGTGGAAGCAGTAATTGAGGCAAGACATGGTCACAGCCCAGAAATCGGGGAGAAACAGGGATGAAAGAATTGAACTGAAGAGACCCTTTGGGGGTGTGTGTGCTTGGGTGGCTCAGTCGGTTAAGTGTCCAACTCTTGATTTCAGCTCAGGTCATGATCTCACTGTTCGTGGGATGGAGCCTGAGCATTGGGCTCTGTGCTGATATCACGGATCCTCCTTAGCATTCTCTCTCTCTGTCCCTCCCCTGATCATGCTCTTTGTCTCTCTCTCTCTCTCTCTCTCTCTCAAGTGAAAAAAAAGATACTTAGGAAGTTTAATCAACAGTTTGGTGATGGAAAGGATGTGGAGGGAAGGAGGGCTGGAGATAAACAACAAACCTGCCTTAGCCACAAACCAATTATGAGTCAAAGATGGCCAATAGATTTTGGGGTGAAAAGAAGGACTCATAAGACCCATTAAGAACTCCGAATCACTAATGTCCCCTTCAACTGGCCTCTGACTTCAGATTCTCACCAGGAGATTCCTGGCACGAATTCTCTGCCTTCTTAGTCTGCTCTCAGAAGCCAGTGGGGCTGGGCCCCTCGGGCGACCTCAATAGCAGGGGGAGAACTGGAGAGTGACCTGCATGCTTGTGCCTGTGGGGGCTGGGCCGTCTTGCCCGGCTCTCCCTCCCCTCGGACCTGAGAGCCGCTGTCTGAGAGCTGCTCTGTTCTCGTCAATTTAAGTGTTCTGTTTTGTTTCTTCAGAGCATAATTGTCTGGGGTCAGCAGCTTCAAATGGCTTCATCCACAGCCAGCTTTAATTTAGCAGCTTTCAGTTACAAAACAGATGTCTCTGGAAGACTCCATCACAATAAAGCAAAAATGAGTTTTCCTCAAGGGCTGCTAGCTGCCTCTGCTGGAGCAGGTGTTGGCCTGATGGTTCTCTGAGAGGCAGCTTCCATAATGCCTCCCTTCCCCCCCTCACCTGCGCAGACTGTAATTTTAGCTCATTTCCGACAGCCTTGTCCTAGAGGCCGTTCGCAAGCCCCTCCTCGTCCTCCTTCCCTCCACGTGAAGGATGTTTATCAGAGGACCTGTTTTCCATTTCAGTAATTACTTTTGGGCTTCATTTCTGGATTCTTGTCCCTGTCACATCCACAGTCCTGGGAAACTCAATGTTAAACCCCAACGCTCTTTCCTCATCAAAGCTTACTGCCCGTGAGTGTTTGTTAGGACTTGGACAGGACAGGCCTATCTGCTCTGCCCTGCTGAGTGGACACGGGTGGAAAGAGACCCAGGCTGCAGAAATGCAGTTACTATTTGGTATCGGAACCCTAAGAGGGGGACCCCTAACTCTGCTTAACGCAGGGACGTGGGAGGCTGGGCCAGGAACCATCACTGTTCCCCAGTAAAGCTGGCACATTCCTCCAAGACACAATTTGATTATAGCATTTGACTTTTCAAAAAACAGACTTCACCTGGATGGCACCTAGCCCTTCAGTCTTGGAGGCTGCCCCCATCGGCTGGTCCTTAGGCATCAGATACGGGGTGCTGACCTGAGTTCAGATCCTAGCTCTCCCACTCCCCAGCCGAACCTCAGACTCCCCACAGTTAAATCAAGGAAGGCCTTCAGCTTAGGGGTCATTTCTAGGGGTGAGTCAGACTATATAGCAAAGACCCCAGCCTAGCGCCTGGGTCCTTTGTGGTGCTCAGACCTCAGTGGTTGTGATTAGCACAGTGTGGAGGACTCCATTTTCTGGCATGATGACTAATTCATGTGTGCACATCAATGACGTAGCTAAGCCATAGAGTGGGCTTTGTTTCCCTCAATTATAAAAATGCTTTTATTGTTCTCATTTCCTACGTATGGGTAATATGTCAGTCACTTTGGCTGCTTGTCCCTTGGAGAGGGGACTGGGCTCAAGAAACAGGCAAGAATAATGAAAACCTTTTCCAGTGTTTTCATTATCTTTTGGAGTCTCCCAAAAGTCCAGCCAAGTTTCCCAGCCTCTCCTTGTTGAGAAGGACTTTCTTGTGAACATTATCATTGCTGAGGACGCTTGCAGAATATCTCACGGGACAGGGGTCTCTGCATGCTAAGGGAGACGATTCCACGGGTTGTGAAGGGACTTTTTTGGTTTTGGCTGTGGTCACACATTTCAATTCTTGGTTCTCCAAGGCCCCACTTTATCTCTGGATCACTGTGCTGCCACGTCTGTTCTTGGGCAGGAACCTTAGCTCCTGTGAGCTGACAGAGGTCACTGTTACTCAAGCCACCAGGGGGTACCTGAGCTGACAAAGGGGCAGGAAGAGTTGCCAAACAGGGCGAAAAACACAGCACAGGATAAAGGAAAAGAATTAAACTGTTAAGACTTACTCTGTGTCAGGCACGATGCCAAGTCCTTTTGGTGTATTTTTTCTTTCGCTGCTTTCCGCCAGCCATCCCTGTTATAAAACAGCCCTCTCTACAGATAGGAAAACTTAGAGAGTTTGCCATTTTCTCCAGGTCATCCATCTGGCAAGGAGCAAAGCCGAGAGCAAAAGCCAGGAGCTGACTGGAGCCCGGGATCCCACCTACTACCTGGTCTCTGCTTCTCTGAGAAAGTGAAAGCCTCCGGCTGCAACAGAAGGCCCCTTGACCTCGGTGAGATGGAGGTGCTTAACTGGAGACACCTGGAGCTCTGTATTTGCACCTGGACTGGTAGGAAGAGGAGTGGGTGATAAATGGGCAAGATGGCAGCCTCCCGTCTCTGGAGGTGGGAGGGAGTGGCTCCTGCTTTGAAAGTAAGTATGAAGAAAGCACTAGAAGGGGCAGCATCTTTCCTTTCTTCCCCTGACACACCCGATTGTTTAAAGATACTGGGCGGCTGCCGCTGTGCCTGAGACTGGGGAGGGCAGCCACAGATTTGAACTTGAGGGTGGGCTTAGAAGGTGGGACGGGGTCTCCATCCCCAGACTGCTTGATGCGCTAAACTCAGGTGAGGCCAGAGGTTTTCAGTTTCACTTTGATGGGTCCGTGGTCCCTCCTGTAAGGCCTGGGGGACTGTGAGGCCAAGGGCTCCTGGGTGGGTGAGGGCTGAGGGAGCTTGGTTTCCCAGAGTGTTGGGCATTTGAGACAGGGTGCTCGTCTGCCTTTCTTCTTTTTGTCTCCTGTTCCCTTCTCTCCCGTTACCAGTACTGCCCAGGATAGAGTGGGAACACAGTGCTCAGCAAGGAAACGCCAGCCTTCTCACTGCTGTGGTGATGAGCTGACTTCGGGTGTGCAAGACTGGCACATCGGACGGCCTGCGCATGCTCCTTGGCCCGGAGGTGCCCGCAAGGCTGCTGGGTGCCCGGGCTCCTGCTCAGGAGGATTGGAGATGGGTTAGGGCTGGTGGAGGCAGAGGGGCTGCCATCATGGCTGGCCCCCGATGGTGTAAGGATTGCACTTGTGACACTACCACGTCCCGCCATGCCCTCTGTCCCCTGTAGAATCTGGTCATTTGCTCTGCTCCTCACCCGGAATTAAAGCTCTGAATTCCCAGCCCCTATGTCACAGAGTTGGAAGGTCTGCCTTGGAAGGGGAGGGACCAAGAAAAGCTCCCCCATAGAACAGGCTGGAGCCATTCCATTCGACCCTCCCTTACCTCAGGGCTGGTCTCTTCTGGGATTTCACTTATGTGTCTGCATCCGTTGAGGGTGGGTGTCAGAACTCTCAGGCTTGTTCCATCTGCTCTGACATTTTATGATGAAGCCTCACATAAAGGTCCTAGGAGCAGCCAGAGTGTCCTGGTCACTTGAGGGAGCCTTGAAACCCATACTCACGCCCTAGGACAGTAGAAGGAATGGAGCAGGTATCTCTTCTATCACACAAGCAAGTGGCTCTCCTCTCTGCAGTAGGCCATGGAACGGTGGTGGCAGCTCCTGTTAGGGCTGTGGACAGTCGCGCCCATCTGGGCTGGGGAGAAGCTGCTCGATGTCTGCATGAACACCCAACACCACAAGCGGAAGCCTGGCCCAGAAGACAAGCTCTACGATGAGGTATAAAGGCCAGACCTTGCCTGGGGATGGGAGTGAGGCTGCTTTGGCAGATCAGGGAAGGGGCACAAATGCCAAGATGGTTTCTGAACCACCACCAACCCTGACTCATTTGGTTCCTTACATTGGGATTTGAGTAAAGATCACTGGAGGAACACTTCGGCCTTTTGAGATCATAACCGCTGAGTGCTTTCATGTTCCCATCTCTGAGCTGCCCAGCCACTTGGAGAGTAGGGGCCGATGGTCTGAGAGGCCCGTCACTCATTCAGCATACCTTCAAACAAACAAGGTCCTCCTTCTTTAGCCTTCTTATCCATAAGCCCTGGGGAGACATGACTCCAGTGACCCCTCCCCAGGTCCCTGGGACACAGGACGAGTCTTGGAGCTGACTTTTTTTTTTTCTTTCTTCTTCTTTTTTTTCTTTAGTTATGAGCTCTTCTCAGTTCTGGTGCCCTCCCACCCTGTGCAGCCCCACCTTCCCCTGGGTCTCCTGGGGTTGCTCTGCTGCCCCTTAGGAGCTGAGATCCTGGAAATCCTGTTTCCGGGGAACTGCAGCGACCTGTGGCAGGAAGATAGGCGTCCAGGTGCCCTGTGGCCATGAATATTGACATAGTATCACATTCCTTCTAGATGGGCATTGCTGGCCTGAAGCCATCCCATTTGCCCACGCCTTCTTCCAGGGGACATTTTTACCTCTCTGCTCTGGACACTCCTCAATCTCCTGCCTCCTATCCAGCCCCTTATCTTTTGCTTCTTCCTCCACCTTCAGTGCATCCCCTGGAAAGACAATGCCTGCTGCACGGCCCGCACAAGCTGGGAAGCCCACCTCGATGTGTCCCTGCTTTACAACTTCAGCTTGGTTCACTGCGGGTTGATGATGCCAGGCTGTGAGAAGCACTTCATCCAGGCTGTCTGCTTCTATGAGTGCTCCCCAAACCTGGGGCCTTGGATCCGGAAGGTCAGAAGACTGGGCTGGGGAGTTAGGAGGCACGTCCACACAGTGCCCTGTTACTAAAAGCCTGAGCTCCAGGATGGTAGCTGGAGCAGGACATGCTGTCCTCCTATGGACCAGAGCAGAGTCAGAGGCCGGGTTCAGGGAAAAAAGTGGAGAGAAAGCCACCTCTGGCCCTGGGGAGCAGCAGAGGGGAGCACAGATGAGAACTTTAGGATAAGGGACTGGAGTAAAACCTTGGTTTGCAAGAATAATTCATTCTGGAAACATGCTTGCCATCCAAAGCACTTGTATATCAAAACAGGGAATTTCAAGAACCATTTGCTCAGTTTTGATCATGTCACATTCCATGTCACATACTACTCATATTGCAAGACATCACTCATTTATTAAGTTAAAATTCATTAGAAATGTTACTTGTCTTGTGAAATACTCACAGAACAAGTTACTCGCAATCCAAGGTTTTACTACATTTGAATCCCATCTTTTCTAGGTAGCAAGCTGTGTAGCCTGGGCCAAACCATTTAGCATCTTAGCCTCATTTTTTTCATTTGTTTTCTTTTTTTTTTTAAGTTTATTTATTTACTTTGAGGAGGGGAGGGGCAGAGAGAGAATTCCAAATAGGCTTCATGCTCTCAGCACAGAGCCCAATGCAGGGCTCTATCCAATAAACCATAAGATCATGACCTGGGCCAAAATCAAGAGTTCAACACATAACTGACTGGGCCACCTAGGTGGCCCTCATTGTGCTCATTCGTAAAGGAATGCTTAGAGACTTCCTCAGGGTATATCTTCCACTAGTAACTGCCAGAGTACCATTGTAGCTACTGATCACCTTCAAATCCTTGCTATTAGCATTCTTGTCTCTTGTTATGCCTGCACCCAGATGGACTTGAGTGGGCCAGGAGAGCGAATTCTAGATGTACCGCTCTGCCAGGAGGACTGTGAACAGTGGTGGGAAGACTGTCGCACATCTTACACTTGCAAGTCCAACTGGCACAGCGACTGGAACTGGAGTCGGGGTGAGTGGTGCTCGATGGGACCCCTACCTGGCAGCAAGCATGAGCTCCCTATGCTCCCCTAGGGCAAAGGATGGGGAAGTGAGAGTGGGAGTCTCAGGAGGTAAGTGTGTGCCTCAATCCCCCCTCCCCCCAGGGAAGAACCGTTGCCCCGCAAGGGCTGTCTGCCATCCTTTCCCCCATTACTTCCCCACCCCGGCTGACCTGTGCGAGAAGATTTGGAACAACTCATTCAAGGCAAGCCCTGAGCACAGGGACAGTGGGCTGTGCCTGCAGAAATGGTTTGAGCCTGCCCAGGACAACCCCAATGTGGCTGTGGCCCGCCTCTTTGCCAGCACTGCCCCACCCTGGGAAATCTCCTACATTCTCCTGGCTTTCTCTCTATTCCTGTCATTCCTATCTTAAAAGCCCCTTCTCCTTCCCACATTCCTATGCCCCACCCCCACCTCACCCCCAGCTATGGGTCAGGCCAGCCATTGAAGTCTTCTTTCTTGGGTCCTTCCTTAAATGGAGCAGTGCAGGCCAGGGATTTGGTGGGATGCTGAGGCTGCAGGAGCTGCTCCGGAGCCATGAACATTCAGTGCTAGGGCCCCTCCACAGCTCTGCTCTGCTTTCTGTGCCTGGAAGGCAGCCAGGGGCTGGGAGAGTCAACATGACCTGCTCCCTCCTGCCTTTAAGGCTCGCCGGGGACGGGGAACTCTGAGGTGGGACTCTAGGCCTATCTCACCCAGTGCATGCCCACTCTCTTCCCTGGCAGAGCCGATGGTGCTCCCAATACAACAGCAGTTGCCCCTTCTCTCTGTGGGACCCACTCTGTCCTAGCTCTATGGTCAGGGAATCAAGCTGCCTGAAGAGAAAGCCAGTTTGCTACACTGAAGTCTCAAAGTTGGTTGCTACTTAACTAATAATGAGTAGCTGCTTAACACGTGCTTGGCCCTCTCCTCCTATCCTTGCAACACCTCCTGACGGGAAGACTCTCAACCTCCTTTGCTTTCAGTAAGCAGTACACCATACAAAAGACCCAGAGCCAGAGTAAGGACCACCCAGACCATGGTCTTTATTTTGGATACCAAGGCTGAAGCCATTGCCTCCATTGCTTTAGGAGTTTCCTGTTCTGATGAACCCCAGAATCGTAACCCGCTGCTCTGGAATTTTGGAAGTTGGAGCTCTAATCCAGTTTTTACCACTTTCTATGTGACTTTTGACAAGTCCTTTGGCCTTTATTTAAGACTATCTATACTTCCCTCTCCCCTGAGAGGAATGAGGGAGTTGAACCCCATGCTTTTAACTTACACACACACACACACAAAAAAAAGGAAAAAGCCAATGCCAGGATGCCTGGGTGGCTTAGTCGGGCAAACGTCAGACTCTGGATTTTGGCTCAGGTCCTGATATCATGGTTCGCGGGATCATGGTTCACGTCAGGTTCTGCATTGACTGGGTGGACCCTGCTTGGGGTTTTTCTCTCTCCATCTCTCTCTGCCACTCCCCTGCTTGTTCACCATCTCTCAAAATAAATAACTAAACTTCAAGCCAATGCCATTATTTGTTGGGATCTAGTCTGTGACTCTCAGGCAATGCCAGCCCCTAGAGAATAAGACTGAAGAGTCAGAACCGAACTTGAGAAGGGGCAGCAGGGCAGCCTTCAGGTCCTCTCTGTAAGTGGACTGGCCAGCCAATCTGCCCACTTAGAACCTTCTGGAGGCTGAAGGCCAGCAGCTTCTCAGCATAGATGGTGCCTTCCCTACAACCTTTTCGTTGACAAAGAGGGTTCCTAATAGGTCTGTGTCTGAGGTAGTTGGCTTTTCTGACAATTACTCATTCTCACCACACACCAGCAAGCCTTGCTCATCAATTAAATTCTATCTCCATTCCTCCCATGCCTCCCCTGAATGTGCTCCTTCACTGAGCAGAACCTGGTCCTGGTTCTAAAACCAATGAGGATGGTCCTCCTAAGTGAGATGCTCAGAGTCTGGAATAAGAGACTGATGCTAGCAACGGAGACCAAGCATTCACTAGAGGTCTGCAAGAACAGGGCCTGAGCTGGGGGTTCTCACAAAGCGGGTGATGTTTGAGCCCCAGTGAAAAGGGTCACTTCATTAAGAATAGAAAATAAAAGGGGTGCCTATGTGGCTCAGTCTGTTGAGCCTCTGATTTTGGCTCGGGTCATGGTCTTGTGGTTCGTATATTCAAGCCCCACATTGGGCTCTGTACTGACTGCTCAGGGCCTAGACCCTGCCTCAGAGTCTGTGTCTCCCTCTCTCTCTCTGCTCCTCTCCCATTTGTCTGTGTGCTCTCTCTCTCTCTCTCTCTCTCAAAACTAAATCAGCATTAAAAAAAAAAAACCTAGGGAAAAAAAATGGTGAACAAAAATCAGGGAGTCCCTAAAGCACTTAACTATCTGAAGCTCCAAAATGAGTCAATAAATTGTGGCTTCAAAAATACATATAGGTAAAGTTTCTTAAGAACTGAGGAGTGGGTGCACCTGGGTGGCTCCATCAGTTAAGCATCCAACTTTGCCTCAAGTCATTTGATGGTTTGTGAGTTGGAGCCCACATCAGGCTCTCTGCTGTCAGCATGGAGCCTGTGTCAGATCCTCTGCCCCCCTCTCTGTGTCCTCCCTTGCTCACTCTCTCAAAAATGAATAAACATCTAAAGAAAAAACCCAAGGACTGAATTAAGTGAGGGTATGTGTGTGGTAATAAAGCTGAGAGTTTGATGACTTTTTAAAAACTGTTTAGTCATTTCTGAGAGACAGAGTGCAAGCAGAGGAGGGGCAGAGAGAGGGAGACACAGAATCTGAAGCAGGTTCCAGGCTCTGAGATGTCAGCACAGAGTACAATGCGGGCTCAAACCAACAAACCATGAGATCATGACCTGAGCCAAAGTTGGATGCTTAACCAACTGAGCCATCCAGGCAACCCAAGTTTAATGACTTCTTAAAAAGGATTTTTAGATAAAATACAAAAATAGAGTAGGGTTAAAACTGAGCCAAAACAATACTAGTCTAAACAAAACAAGACAACCCTAGTAACTGTTACTATATATTGATCACTTATTCTGTGTCTGGGGCTCTGCTAAGCTCCTAACATGTATTAGCTGATCTGATGGTTCTGAAAGCTTTGAGAGCCACTCTCATACCCATCTTTCTTTCTTTTTAATGTTTATTTGTTTTTGAGAGAGGGAGAGACAGTATATGAGAAGGGGAGTGGCAGAGAGAGGGAAACACTGAATCCAGGCTCTAGGTTCTGAGCTGTCAGCACAGAGCCCAACTCAGGGCTCGAACCCATGAACTATAAGATCATGACCTGAGCTGAAATCGGATGCTCAACCTACTGAGCCATGCAGGTGCCCCCCCATCTTTCAAATTAAGTCAGATACATGTGGGTTTGAAACCATGTACGTCTGACCCCGCAATCCCAGTTCATGAAGCTTATACAGAATACCTTGGCAAGTGGAGCTGGAGCAAATGTAGGGAGGGGTGGGGGAGGGGAAGGGGGCAGGCTATGGCAGGTAATGAGCAGGAAATGGAGACTAAGCTTTCTCCCCATAAGTGGTTAGAGGAGTAATGGTTTTCAGTAGTGGAATGGAATGATCAGATTTGCAGTTAACTGATTTGCTTTCATCAGAGTGATCTATGCATGTGACTAAAACACAGGTCAGAGGAGCTCTACCACAGAACAACAGAGCCCCAGACATCCAGCCCCTTGGCATCCACTTTTGAATCATTTCTGGATTTGAAGCTATGAAAAAGTTACAAAAGGTGGCTTATCTTTTCTGCCACACAGGCTATCTTTTTGCTCTCTGTTCAGTTAGTTTCTTAATCCTCCAATCTTTTTAATTTTGGAAATTCACTTTTAATTTCCAGGAGATTTTTTTTAATTTCCTTGTTCTTCATAGTCTGCTGTTTTTGGTTTTATGGATGTAATATCTTCTTAACTCTCACTGCAGATCTAATTAGAATTTTTTTAAAGTCTTTTTTCTAGTGTCTGAATGACCTATTTCCTCCAAGGGCAATCTGTTCTGTTTATCTTCATCTTCTCCTGTGTGCTGCTGGTTCTCTTTGTGTCTGGTGACCTTGGCTGTGTATCTGTATTTGAGAATGACAAACTGTGTTGATTTTTCTAGCTAGCTGGTATAGGTGTCCTGTGGTTGTCTGTAGCTCTTCGTGCCCCTGAATAGCAAAGCTGATGGGAATTTCTGGGTATGTGGGGGAAGGCTTATTGGCTAGCAAACTCCTTCCTAATGTGGAAGTAAATGAGAACAAGCAAGTCTATTTGGTCAGAGCTTGCTGTAACAAGGGAGTCAGTCACCATCACTGGTGAGTTCTGGCAGAGACCCAAAAGCAGAGAGAGAACTTTAAAGTGAAAAGCTTCAGGTATGCCCTAACTGACGCTGTTGGCATGGGGAAGCTGTAGGCAGGCTAATTAGAAGCGGGGCATCCTATGTGGTTGGTTAATGATGTGTATTTTGCTTTCTCTGGTTGATCCTCCATCGGAAGCAGGGATAAAAATTAGGAGAGCTCTCAGTCATTAATCAAGTCCTGCCTATTGGGGCCAATTGTTAAATGGATAATTGGTTGGCTTCCAGGGCTGGTTGTTAGAATAGCAACCTAACTTCCTGTAACTTTAATTACATAGTAGGTTGGCTTTCTGGGCTGATTACTGCAGATAATGGGCTAAAACTCTATATACACCCAGCCATTGTCCATTTATACATGTAGTCTCTCAAGACTGAGTTGGCAGGAGTTATATTGGAGTGCAGACCTCTCAAATATTAGAAAAACGATGGTTTCCTTTGGGATAGCAATACCATGTATTTCATGATGCATGAAATTTCAGCATTGTCCAGAATTTAACTTTAGGGAAGACCCTCTCCAGGGGTTAAAGTTGGGGTACCTTAGCTCCAGTATTGGGCAGAAGACATGGCGGCAAGTACATATAGACTTTTTCCCTCTGTCCCCTATGCCTGCCTTCCACTACAGCTGTCTTTTCCATTTCTTCTGGCCACCAGTGTTCCCTTTGTGTGTTTTCATATGCTCTCTAGCTTCTAAATATTTATTTATTTATAAAATTTTACTTGAGAGAGGGAGAGCAAGAAAGAGATTACGAGTGGGGGAGACGGGCAGAGGGGGAGAGAGAGAATCTTGTAGGCTCCATACTCAGCATCCCATGATGCTGGGATCATGACCTGAGCCAAAATCAAGAGCCAAACACTCAATCGACTGAACCTCTATCTTCCTAATATTTATTGAAATCTCTTGTTCACTGATGGTTTCCTTCACACTCTTTAGTAAAGGAACACTTAGAAATAAACACTTTTGTGAGATCCCAGGAATTCATTCTATCTTCTGTAATGAGAAACAGCAGATTTAAAAAAAGATCTCATTGTTATATAAAGAGAAG